TCTACTAATTCCTAGATTTCTTTTTTAATTATTTCATGTTAATAACCACAGCAACAAAGAGGATTAGTATGTATCTCCCAAAGCAAGCAGCAAACATCACTGGAATTTTACAAAGGTGCATTGGCTTCCTGATGCTACTTTGCTCAACCTCACATTTCAATTTACTTTCATTCTCTTGACAAATGCCAAACATTGGCAAAGGAGGTAACCCCAGTATCCTGAGTTTAGGAAGTGAGTCTCCAGAACTTTTTTTCTGGGCTGTTTTCACTCGGTGATGTCAACGTTGGGGTTTTCTTTTTCTTTAATCCACCATTCTCATTGTTTGCACAAAGGAAAATGGAGTTGCAAAGAGCGTTTGTTTTTCGTGTTCAGTTCTGTAGGAGAACAGACTGGGACAGTGCAAGAATGATTATATGGTGTTGCTTGGGAAGCGCCCACAAGTTCTTTGAAACAGAATTTGGAACAGCTGGACCACTGCAGTGTTTTATTTTAAAATAGACAACATATGTAATGCATATGGTCCTAGACATGTATGGAGACACAGGCAGACAATCTGAATGGTATCCAAAGACACCTGCACCTAGAATTCTGTTTCCTTCTATAAGATTTTCCCCCTAAGAGCACATGTTCCCACTTTTGGATTGGAGAGATACCATCTGAATCCCCATGTGTGTGTCTCCTTAATAAAGCTGGTGGGGAGTGGCCTGGGATAGAGGTGTCAGAGTCATTCTCTCCATTAATAGCCACCCGCTAAGGACCTGGCTGCTGCAGGAGCTAGCAAGGAAACAATAACTCAGGGGATGCTCTCAAGGAACAGACTACCTGCTCAGGGATTCTGCTGTGTGTATGTGTCCTGACACCAGAGAAATCAGAACAAAACCCAGAAAAGCCAGGCAAAATATAGTAATTAGTTATGTAGGGATAGGGCAGAATATAAAGTGGAGACACAGGGATGGGCTGGCAGTTTCCTAAAATAATATAAAAAAGACCAAGAAGGTATGGCTCACTAGCTATAAATGCAGAGACATCTTGGCCTCACTAACAGCTAAATGCAAACGAGCTTTGCAAGAACTAAGAAGCCTGCCTGTTTACTCCTAGATAACATTTATTGAGTGCTTACTATATGTCAGGTGCCTTCTGGACATTTATTAGATACCATCAACAACTCTATGACACAGTCTCCAACTACTACCTTTAATTCATAAACAAGGATAAAGAGTCTAAGAAACATTAAACACTTGTATATACCACATTCCACACAGTTGGTATTCCAACCTTAAATCCAGTCATTATGAATCCCACTCCAACCCTCTGCTGAATTCTCTGCTCTTTTAATTAGCAAATAAACTGTGAGCTTAGTGTAACAGTATTCCATAAAAATCAAGACCTAGAAGACATGGCAGGGCAGGAGAGATGGCTCAGTAAACAAAGATGCTTCCTGAAAAGCCTGACAACCTGAGTTTGATCCCCAGAACCCACATGGTAGAAGCGACCAAAGGTTGTCTTCTAAGTTTAATATGCATGCCGTGGTAGGCATGAATACATGCAAGAGTATGCGCATGAACACACAAACACACACACACGCACACACACACACACACACACACACACACACACACACACAAAATCTAATTTTAAAATAAATAGAAAACACTGAAAGCATGGGTTTATTTACTTGATAAAATAAACCCAATATTTTGACAAGCATATACCAAGTACTACCTGTATTCTGTTTTTCTTACTTTCTTTCCTTCTTTCTTTCCTTTTTATTTATTTGTTTATTTATTTGCTGGAGTCTGGAAATATAACAGAGGGCAGAAAATCCTGAATCCCTCCTTAAAACTCAGATGTTTTGAGCTGACACTTCGACTTAGCATTCCCAGCTCCTTCTTTTACCCTTTTCATAATACAAGCTTGGGGAAACTGTTCAAACTAGTCCTGAGAGTTAGCACCCATAGAAGCATCCTTAAATTATAGGAACAATTAAGATAGGAAACCCAATTCTAAGTACATGGCAATGCTATCTTACTTGCTGCAACCCCACACTGTATGTACAAGTATGCAAGGGTCCTGAAGATCACTAAACTGCTGTCCAAGATGGCAGAGAGTAAACAGAAATGTCAATTCATCTGTCACATGAGGAAACTGAGGTTCAGAGATAAATAGTCCCACTAGCGCATGACAAATATTTAAAAATGGAGGCCAGATGCTGGTAAAGTACTGGCCATGCAAGCATGAGGACCCAAACTCAGATCCCCATTACACACATAAAAGCCAGTCGCAGCCAGAGCTGGGAGTCAGAGATAAGAAGATAGGAGGCTGGCTGGCCAGTCCTGCTGACTCAATGAGCTCTCAACTTAGTGAGAGACCCTGTCTCAAAACAAAGAATGTTGAGAGCAACTGAGGAAGATACTCAATGTCAACCTTTGGCTTCCACATGCACACACCGGCAAACACACACACACACACACACACACACACACACACACACACACACGCACACACCTTCCGAACCACATAAATTCCAGTTCTGTATCATTCTCCATGTAGACTAGGGAAAAGAAGAGACAACAAGGAAGGGGATAGAAATTTTATTTTATGGTTATTGTTAAAAAAAAGGAAAACACTGATTTTACTAATAGTTTTCTCTAAGCCTGCTTCAGACAGTCAGTAGAAAAGGAAGCCATTTTCTAGCTGTATTCTCAGGCAGCAATTAGCACCACAAGCTAGGTCCATAGAGGCCCTGTGACAGGTTAGAGATGGGGAGGCTATCTGTGTCCCAGTCTCCCCGGAGGGACAAATTGTCTCTTCAGACCATTTCCTGAGTGGCCAGAAAAGCAAAACAGGTCAACATCAAAGTATTTAAAAGGTTCAAACAACTAAAGAGTATGATACTTGAAGTCCATACTGTATTTTTAACAGCTATAAAAGAGCCCCCTTCTTTCCAAGCTGAATGACCGGGGTTGTACCATAATAACCAAAGAGCGGTAAACTAACTGAGCCAAACTGGCAAAGTAAGGCCCTGGCCGAGTTTTCAGCTTACAGCCTCTGCCGAGAAATCTGAGAGCAAGAATCTGATGCTAGCCAAGCTGCCTGATCTATCTGTTAAAATTGGGAGGCAGGGGGTGGATGTGGCTCATGAGGATGTAACAGGATGAGCAATTCAAGCACACCCCACACTTGCTTCTTCCTGAATTAAGTCTCCCCGGGATCACGGGACAGAGAGTGAGGGCATTATCCAAGGGAAGAGGCAGAGAAGGGCTTTCCAATTGTTGCAAGGGTTATTCTACCAGTAGGGACCGCAAGTAGGAACAAGTGCAAGACACTTACTTGTCTTGGGCCACAAGTAGCACATCCACACCCAGAAACAGCTAGCCCCCACCCCTGCCCAGCTCCATTGCCCTGAGGATCCTGAAGGAACAACCTCAAGTGCAAAGCACAGGATGAATGGGTGGCTGAAGCTAATACAGAGAGGAGCTCTCTGTGGGTCCTCTAACAATTTCTTCCCGTGTGATATCTTTTCCAAAAGCCTTTGCTTTATCATTCTAATGGAGCAATTAGTCTGCTAAAACCCTATTCTTCAACTTGCCTTCTAGAGACATTGCTTCTGTGTGTCTCAGGCATTAACTCATTCTAACACTGACTGCTCACTACTCCTATGCAAAAAAGTCAAAGATTTAAAAAAACCCCACACTAGGAAGGGCAGAAGCTGAGAAGCCATGCATTTTTGTTCAAATGATAGCTGAAATCACTGAGAAATCAGAATGTTAATATCACACTGCTACCACAAACCAGGCTCACAAACATAACCTAAGCATGGGAGGGAAAAAAAAAAAAACAAAAACAAAAAAAACCAAAAACCTTCCTGGAATAGAGGTCACATAGGAAAATAATACTCAAACACCCTCTCAAGTCAGAAATCAATTTTTCCCTTTGCCCTGATTGTTTTGCTGGCTCCTGGCAGGTCTGTGTCCAAGTAAAATGTTGCATGTGAAAAGATAAATAAAATCTTGCTCTGAGATTCCATCTAATTGTAGTCTGGATAGCAAGCAGGAGAGTGGATGATGCAGAGTGAGCTGATCTCTTTACCACAAAGACTTTCATTCCTACCTCTTTAGGATTTTCTTGGTGGCACTCGAGCTGATTTCTGAGTTATTTTGCCATCTAAGGATAGTCTATTTTAGTTACACACATTGAGATTAATTAGTTAGCCCTTAGGAGGTTTTGCCTACAGCCTTCACCCTGTATGGAAAAGTGTGAATACATGGAGACTATTAACTCACAATAAGTGGCAGACCGCAGCCCTCACAGGGCAGTTTCTGTTTGTCTCTTTCATAAGCTTCGCTAATAGAGTATGTGCCCCACAAGGCAACATCCTTGCCTATCCAGCACTAAATTCCCATTTAACTTACTCTCCCAGTTTCAATCTAAAAATAAAATAGAAACTTTTAATTTTGGAGGGCTGGGAATCAAACCTTTCGTGACACCAAATTGGCAATGAAAATTTGGAAGGGGATGACACAAATATTGTTACTCTGCTGAAAACCAGCATAAGCCTTTTTCCAGATAATTCCAATAAGCCCCGAGAAATTGCTCTAGACACAACCACTGGAATGGCAGAATTTACTACAAACCTGCAAAGCTACCTAGACAGCTATCAGCAAAGATCCGATCTGCTTTCAGTGTTTGGTGAAATGCAGGCGAAGTTACGGTCTCATGCATAGTTGTAAAGAGCAACACGGAGGCACTGGAATTGTGATCATTTGAGAAACATGTTGATGCCAATATATTTTTGCCTAAATGCAGTAAACTCACCAGTAAGTGATGCAAGTTGACAATGGGGGGTGGGTCAAAGACTATCTTGGGGATATTGGTGGGGGGGGCAGCAGGGAGGCAGCTGATGTTCACAATGCCTAGTGAATCCTGTGAATCTGAAATGTCAAAAAAAATGTGATGTGTTTCTCTAAATTGTGTCTCTCTCTACATGTGTAAATGAACAGACGCAGATAGAGCTCAAAAGCACGGCATGGATGAATTTATCTCTTCCAACCCCTGTAACTTTGACCACGCTTCCCTCTTTGAGATGGTGCAGCGACTGACTTTGGATCACAGACTTAATGATTCCTATTCTTGCCTGGCAAGTATATCCTTTGATCTTCAGCAATTGAAACATGACATTTTTGAAAAATCAAATATCCCTCTACCATTATGTCAGCGTTCTCCCTGCTCCCATACAAAATCCCTTTAACAATTATAAACACGTCCTCAAGTTTCTGTGTGGTGATAGTTGTATTTATTCAAGAATCAATCTTGAATCGGAAGTGCTCACAAGAGATATAGCCAATTCCCCAGCCATCCCACCTTAGCTTCCCCCTTTTCAGCTGCTACGTGAGAAATCTTCCCAAAAAGGTGGTTGAGCTTGGCACCTACTCATGATGAACTTATAAAAACTGCCTGATTGTTATACAGATGCCCCACCCTCTCCAGCCTATACCTGGTACCCCGAGCTCATTAAGGAATGCACTGTTTGTGTCACTTTCAAAGATCGAAGCAGTTGCTAGTACACTCCACTCTCCATAAGCCTGATGCATTTGGCTTTGTTTATTTGGGTGGCACTTTTTCTCTCATACTCAGAACCTTCTTCACCCTCGAAGAGAAATTTTTAAAGGCGCCGTTTATATTTCGAAGCCCAGCTACCCATCAAGGTATTTATATCCCCCAAATCCCATTTTAAACCCCGAATCAAATTAGTTCAGTTTAAGGACTGCTGCTACATATTTATCCAATTTTTGAAAACACATTTTTTGGTTTGCAATTATCAAGCCCCAAACCATAACAAAGACTTAGTTCATTTTTGTCTGCAGACTATAAATTATGACTTTGTTCCTTAAAGGTAAACAGGAATTATGAATCCCACTTTATAGACAGGAAAAAAGAGGGGGAAATAACCAAGTGATTTTGAGCAGAGAGCAATTCTTGTCCTTAACTTCAAACATGGAAGGTAATGTATTTATGTAACATTAATATTATATAATTAACTGACATTATTCTAAATGATTATTTTAAATTCCCCTTTTTTGGTGCTTGAAGATATAATGTGTTTTTCTTAAGAGGTTAAAATCATCTTAAAAATAGAAGTGAGATTCTGTGGGATACTTTATTAATCTGTGGCTCATAATGATACATTATCACATGTTGAGAATCTCTTCACTGGAGATTCTGACTTTACCAAATTGGAAATGAATGCTGTGTTGACTTAAAATACAAAAACAAAACAAACAACAAAAAACACTTACCTTGTATTGCAAGGCCATTTTCTCAAAATAATTTCCTATTATTATCTATTTCTAATTAGGGTTATGAAGATCACTAGGGTGCATATCAACATAATCACCCCATTTTCTGCAGGAATTCTGTTCACTTGATAACATGAGATGTATAATTTTTAAGACTTTTATTCATATCAGTGTTTGAAAACAATTTTTTCATTCTGAAATTTACCATGAAGAAGAATTCATAAATGCCCTCAAAAGATTAAACCAGAGATGAGATGCTGGTGCCTGTCTCCCATCAATCACTACAGGCTTAAAAATATAGTCTAAAATAAAAAATCATAGTTGTGAGTTACCCAGAGCAGCTGTCTCCCCTGTTTATATACCTGGATCTATTAATTAAGGCCAGAATTTCAGAAAATAACAGAAATTTAAAGGACCGTATCCCTATCGATATATATATATTCCATTTTTCTCATTATTACAGTCTTTTTTTTTTTCAGTTGGTTTTGGAGACCGACCAGCAGGGATACATAAATTTTTCTGTGTCTTCGACTCAGTTCCTAATTGATATTTCTTCAACTCTTTTCAAAGCAGCTATTTTGGCATCTACAAAAGACTTGGTGTCATCTGAGTCGTAGAAAATATATTTTAATCTTTCACAGCAGTGTTGTCTCTAAGATTTAGCATTTGGGGTAGCAGATGGAGTGGCAAAGAAGTTGCCTATAGGGGCAGCCCACTGCCTCGACTACTCTCCCGCCCTCTGCAGTAACTTATCATTTGAAATAGGAAAGATGCCGTGTTTCGTCGGATGCATCGCTAAGCTTCGCATTGTCAATCGCAGATCCCCGATCCCTAGTACATGATTAGCAAATTACAAAGGCCTCCCTCCCAAACTCCTTTGGCCTCTCCCTGTTCCACATCATTCTTTCCTCGCATCCCTTCTATCCCAAGCTGCAGAAGTATTAAAAAAAAAAAAACTCACAAGAGACCTCAAAGTAAAGTGAAGTTTATATTTAAAAGAGCCCAAATTTCCAATTTAGAAAGCACTACCTAGATTGTTTTATTATTGCTTCAGATAGCACAGAAATGAGACAATATGGTTTGATTTTAGACTCTGTCTACATTGACCATCAGGGCTGAGTCTTTGGCCTTTCTAACGACCCATCTTTATAATTACATAATGGAGGCAGTGGTTTCTAGCCATCATGCCACTGAATTATTGTTACCAGAGACTCTGTATGGACTCCCTTTTAGAGCAAAGTTTGAGTGCTCTCATCGTGAGCAAATAAATACAAGAAAACAAATAACTATGGGGGATGGGGACAGAATTGGAAACCCAGGTGTGAGAAATTCCTCTCTTTTGTTCAGGCAAATCTGATTCGTCCTTGGAAAACTTCTCACTCTCTTTGCAGTGCTGTGTTATTACCTCCATTTTAAAATGTCCCAAAAGATTCTTCTAAGCTGTGAAGATTTACAAAGTTTACTCTTTATGTAAACTAGCTTAAAATTTTCCTTTATGTACAAGGATAGGGAACAGTGGACCTGGAGTAGACGTGGCTGGCCTGAGTCTAGTGTGTACTGCAGCTTCCTTATCCAGCTTCCCTTGCTGTAGAGAAAGACAAGATGTGCTTGTCCCGCCTACTTCACTGGCTTACTAGAAGCCTTAACTGAAAGTTTTTGTCAAGCAGAAAACATCTCCCAACCCAAGGCATTTATATCACAATTTTCCCTTGCCAGACTCTGCCTCAACTTCACCCCAATTCTCCTCTAAAGTAGAGCTGGAGCCCTGGTGATTCTCTTTTCCTGGAAGCAGTTAGGAGAAAATCCCACATCATCCCTGAACTCAGTTAACTTGCTCACCTGCATAGCAGGGATGACAACATCTTCCAGGATGGTCTGCTGGGAGGGTTAAGCAGAGCATCCCAAGTGTGCTGGCATGGCAACTGGCACACTATCAAAAGAGTTAACACTGGCTGTTTTTCAGTCCCTTCCTCCAGCTACTCCTGATGCTAGCAGCTCACCAGAAAGCAACTTGTATTTAAAAGAAAGCTTTTCCTTTATTCCCCTACAGGGCTGGTTCAGTCCTGGCCAGGTGTTTGTATTAGATGAGTATTGTGCTCGAAATGGAGTCCGAGGATGTCATCGGCATCTCTGCTACCTTAGAGACTTGCTGGAACGGGCAGAAAATGGCGCCATGATTGACCCCACGCTTCTCCACTACAGCTTTGCCTTCTGTGCATCCCATGTCCACGGTAACAGGTAAGCATGAATCTGGGGAACTTCCAGTGGTTTATGACTTTAATTATCAACCCTAACTCACTGTCCCTATTTACCCAGTGGTACATGCTTACACCTAAAGGGGGAGGAGATACTAATTTAGTTTCCTTAAGCAACTGTAAAGAAATAGCAGATTTCTAGGGAAGCCCCTGAGATAACTCAGTCTGGGTATTAATTATTGTTGGTTGTTTGGTTATTGTTTTGTTTTGTTTTTTTTATCAGTGACCCTGATTGGTAATTAAATCCTCCATACTGAAGTTTGTGATCTATAAAATGGGAATTGGTATTCTCCTGCTATTAAGGGGAATACTTTTGAATATAAAGAATTCAGCAAAATGCCCGGAACATGGCAAGACATTGATCACTACTTTGTCTTTGTTGGTACTATTGTTCATTTCAGGAGTGTTTGATGGTTAATGGCCTAGTGTCAGGCTCTGGATTGCACCCTTTATCCATGATGAATAATAAAAACTAGACACTATACCAGGGAAGATACATTAAGAAAGGGAATTAAGTTCTGGGTAGAATTCAATAAGGAATATGACTCAGATGGAGTGGCAGAATGGCAGGGGGGACCTCCCTGAGGAAATGATGCTAGAGCCGGGAACTGAAGCATGTGTAGGAGTTGAGTAGTTCCAGGCAAAAGGAACAGCATGTACTACTGTCCTGTGAAGAAGGAAGCCAAGCACACTGCTAGAGCTGAAGCAAGATAGGTGAAGCTGGAAGCCAACACACCAGGAACACTTAGAATATATCCTCAGAGGTGAGAAGAACTTTGGCGATCACAATCCAACCAACCCCCTCAGTTTGTAGGTTTCATAGACAAGACCAGAATGTCAAGTCTTCTGAATCTCTACTAAGAATCTGTTTCTTTAGACTGGAGAGCTCCTGGAGGAGGAAAAAAATCCATGTTCTGAATAATGCAAAGAAGCAAATAATTTAAGAACATTGCCATTTGGCTCTAGAGGCAGGGAATAAATTTCCACACTGCCACAGCCAGCTTACCATCTCAATGTATGTAGCCGCACGTTAGTATAAAGATAAGTCTACAATATTCCAAAGCATCCCTGCCGACAGCCAGGGGAGGCAGCAGAAGACAGCTGGGTGGCTTTGGAAAACAAGCCTCACATGAGCAAGTTGTCACTCTGGGGAATCCACATGGGAAGAAGCCAGTCCAGGCTACCTGGCTTTGAAGCCAGGGTTGTGTCAGCCTTACTCATCTTTGCAAGCCACACAACCCTGAAATATCTGTGGGATTTGTTCTGTGCTTTTCCTGTCTCCAGTACCAATAGACTTTAATGAAATGCGACTCTATCATTTAGAGCTGGATAACAATAATATTGTAGCTTTGAATATTTTAACAGGCAAGAAGATTATTTTCATCACCTATTGTTATGGGTCCATAGCCCATGGCATGACCTTTTATTTGCATAAAAGATGTTCATGAAGACTTCAATACCTGGGTTGGAGCATGCATAATTCTGATTTTTATAAATATGTACACTTTGATGACTATCTGTTACAGCCTCTTGGATTGAATTCTTTATAGAGGGAGAGAGAGAGAGAGAGAAGTTGCATTATATTCTCTGGGTTGTCACACTGTATTCTACATATGTTACTGAATAAGAAAGTGTTACAAAATAATGAAATGTTTTTGTAAACTCCCTGGTAAACATCATCATGAATTATGATACACATTGTCTGGGTTTCATATTGTAAGACTGCCACTTGATTCACAGTTAGGTTTATACATCTTGTCGTGGGAACAGTTTTGGATTTCTTATTTTCTTTTCAGTTCTGATTTTCCTTATGCGTTTTGCATCTCTTTTGCTTATTATTTTAGTTTGAATGCATTTGCCTTTGCTTTTTGATGCATTCTTCTTTTTTTTTTCTTTTTGTTTGCACATGTGTGTGTGCTCTTGACTCTCCTATGGCTGGCCACCCTCTGTGCATGCTTCACAAAACCACTCCCTCTCAAAAGTCAACAAATGCATGTGTGTCTTAGTGGGATGCTACCAAACACAGAATTTCAAGGGGGCAAAACTCTACCTTCTCCTGAACCAGAGGCTAAAAAAGATCAACGAAGAGAATCAAAAAAGAGAAAAGAGTCCAAAACTCACCCAAGTCAAGAGCAAAAAAGGTAAGAAGCCATGTTTGTATTGGCTTGTTTTTCAGCCCTTTGTCCTATCCCTGAACCTGCATCCACATCACCATATCTACCTTTGGAAACAACAGGTTTTATGCATCCTTTAAACCTGTATCCTTTAAAGGTTTTCAAAGGTAATTTTTTTTCATAAATGATCTTAAAAATGGACAAAATGTGGTATACTGGTAATTTGAGTCAGGTGTTTGGTGATTTTTAAAATATGTTTGTATTTGAAAAACTAACCTACCAATAAGCAAACAGAACTATGAGGCAGATTTTTGTTTGTTTGTTATTTTCTCTCTGTCATCACGCCTTATTAGTGGTCTGATGCCTTGCAAGTCATTCATAATAAACAACCTATGCTTTGTAATTTTAAAATTATCTTCAAGTGGCAAATAAGATTAACATCAAATAGGCCTATACATTTATTATGGATCTATTTTCTTAAGCAAGTCCTCCTAATATCTACAATCACCTGCAAAAATGAAACTCATCTGAAATAGTGAGTTATAAATGAATGAATCCTATCACCAAATCAAATGGCTGTCAGAAGAGCCACTTAAGCAGCAAGGTCATCTTCAAGGCATGAAGTCCTAAACTTTTGTTCATCTTAACCTGTTTCTTGACCTTCAGCAATGCTTTAAGTGGAAAAATGGCACCTTAAAGACCACAATTACTCATTATTCCCAATATTTTCTTATATATGTATGCCTTTCCTTGCCTGCAATTCTGGCCAGGCTTGTCCAAGTTACACAAAGTAACAGGCACGGACCCTGTATGCTTCAACGTTCATTTATCCACTACCATTTCTTAGCCTGGTGTATGCAATTAGCTTATAGAGAGAACCAATGAGCATGGGAACATTTTCTTTCTAGAGAATGCAGCAAACTATCCATCATAATATGCATAGCTAACAGTGAGCATCAAGGAAAACCAAGAACCACCTGGTCACTCATCTCCCTCCATAAGCAAGGGTGGAGATGAGGCAGAGTTCCTGTTTGTGTTCTGTTCTGGTGTCCATGTCCACCTTCAAGAAAACACCAACTTGCTGTCTGTATCAAGGTGTTGGAAGGGTCTCTGAAGAGGAAGCCACCATGCAACTCTCAAGAGTGCTGTTTGTGGACCTCTCATCATCCACATATTGCAGACAGCAAATAGTCCTCACAGAAAGGCAGCTCTCACTGGACTGAAGCTGCTCCATAGCATGGAAAGAACTACCAAGTGGGATCTTCCCTGTGTGTTTGACAGGATTAAGCATGGTGATTTTTCCCTCCAGAAGCTTTTTGGTGAGGTCTGGACATATGTTTGATTGACACAAGGTTATTATTAAATACCCAGTAATGCCCAGGCAGGCATAGTCCCAAATGACAACAGCATTGAGTATAGGGTCCTACCCTCAAATAATTCAGCAGTTCTTACATGGATCCGGAAATCTGCACAGCCAATACCCCCCTGCCATGATTCTGGCTTTGGATCACATCTAGTCAAAGGTCTTAGCTATTGATTACTGTACATTTGAACCACTTGTGTCAGGGGAATGAAAATAATTCTGATTCTTGAACCTGATTTGCAGCCAAAAATCTCAGGAATTTCTAACTGAACCATTAAAAGTTTAATAATGAGACAATTAAAGGCGATGAGTAAAACAGCTCAAGTGCTACTAATATATATCAAACTTTTAGGCTTATTGGATGAATATTAGTTTGGGCCAACTCTTTAGAACTAAACTCATTTTCTCAAAGAGAGAGGGAACTAAAGGAAAATGTGAGTGTTCAGCTGTTTGCATTTGGCGATCATAAAATCCACAGATGCAAATTGCTATATCTTCTCATTTTTAAATCAGCTCCTAAGGTTGCAATACTTAATTTTCACCATAATATTTTTAGTATTCTTTCTAGATGACATTTAGATTAGCGTCACTTTGGTCACTGTCCCACAGTGACAAGGCAATCAAACGGCTCCGATGATTGCAAGTTGCGTCAATGTTCCTTGGATCTCTTTATTATTGAGATTGGAAATTCTTCTCATTTACATTATTATTTAACATTTCTTGAATGCCACTGCTGCTTTTCACATATGGCCTGCATAGAAAGTACATTGTATCAGCAATTAACAAATCCATAATGCCAACCGCCTAAATCCACAGCTCGCTGCATAGATTAATGAGTCTGCAGGCAGATGTAAGAGGGCATGAATTCTAAAATATATCTGAAAATGCATCCAAAGATCTTCTGGGGAGATGTGTTTGAAGTCAAGGTTCTGTTTGTCCACAGAGCCATGTGCATCCTATAGGTTCAGATTTGAACTCCCTCTCCATGGTCCCTAAATCATCCACCTACATGCCCAAGACAGAAGCTGAGCAGCCATCATATGAACTCTCCCTTCTCTCACAGCATGTTACAAAAAAAAACTACTGCCCCAATGAATGCTTGCAAGTATCTCACAAGTATTTCCATTTCGTCCCTCTTCAGCACCACTGCTATAGCTGGCGTCTCCATCTTCTCTCCCACTGACTACAACCATTGGATTATTTATGGTGTCCTTGCCTCATTCAGTTCATGTCATGTTGTGGGTGTCTTCTTGTTTTGTTTTAATTTATTGCTAGTTTTTGGTGAATGTTTGCCTAGCATTGAGTTACATGTAATTGTTCTTTCTTTCAACCCTAACTCTATCTCTTTGCATACATACACACACCATTATGTGTAGTACATTAATTCTTCTCCCCAATAAAAAAATCAAAATCTACGTAGGTAGGTATAGATCTGCCTTACAGAACTCTAAACACAGTACTGTACATAGCATACAGGTATGGGTGTGTGGGTCTCATGTTACACAC